ACATTGAGATACATAATTTGTATAATATAAAATTTCTTATAATGTGAAATTCACCATTTAAAGTACCCAGTGCTGTGGTTTTTAGTATTTCACAAAGTTATGCAACCTTCACCACTGTCCAATTCCAAAATATTTCCATCTCTAAAAAGAAATCTCATATTTATTAGCAGTCACTTCACATTCTCTTCTTCCCTATCTCCTGCTAACCACTAATTTACTTTCTGTCTAAATGGGTTTGCAATTTTGGACATTTCATATGAATGGAATCATATAATACGTGGTCTTTTGTGTCTGGCTTCTTTCCCTTAGTATACTGTTTTCAAGGTTCATTCATGTTGTAACATGTATTAGTATTTCATTCTTTTTTATGACTGAACAATATTTTATTGTATGGGTTTAGCACTGTTTTTAATTTATTCATCAATTTACAGACACTTGTGTTGTTTCCACTTTTTGGGTTTTATGGTTGGATCTTAAATAAATGGAATATAGAAAGAACTATCCATGCAATTTTCTAAATAAGTTTTCAAAATACAAAATTCCTCATTTTGTTCCCACTTGCCTTTAGGGTTCCATTAACTTCAAATGATGATGATGATGATGATGATGATGACAAAGAGAAAGCGCAGTGTGACAACAATATTAAATCAAAGACATCACCTGATATTCCCTCTTCGGTATCAACAAGACAACCTTTATCAACTCAATGTAATTTGGAAGTGTCATTTCTTAAAGAAAATAATCAGAATGTTTGTGGTTTAGATGATTCAGAACATATTTCTTCTGTTGTTGATGTACTTCCCAAAGGTGAGATTGTTTAAAAATTCATTTTGAGTATTAAATAGTTAGATTCATCAGATTTCTTCCTGAGGGCACTGATGTATAAACATTTAATAAGTTAGACGTCTTATGTTACATATTTGCTAACTGCTACCATTTAAAACTGTTGGCGAAAATTTAATTTAAAAGTAAATATGCTGACAAATGTCAAATCCACAGTGGCCTAATACTGTTACTTTGGAAGCAATGTTTAAAAATGAACAGGTCTAAAGAGCTTTTCTGGGTATCTTTGCTTATGACTTGAAAGATACCATATATTTATATATTTAGTTTTACCCTCTCCTTTTCATAGGTATGAAAATTGGGGGCCTACATAGGTATAGTAACTTTTTAAAGGTTATAACCAATTAGTGATAAAGCAAAAACTTGAGCCTGGGTAATGATTGAGCAAGAAAGAGTAATGGAACTTACATTTTATTTATGTGGTGATGCTACTAAATAATAATCCTGTGGTGTAGTCTATGGTGCTTATGGATTTGTCATAGATTTTCAAATTAGGATATGGGACCATAACTATATTGAATTTATTTATTTATTTTTATTGTTTTGAGTTAGGGTCTGGTTCTGTTGCCTAGGCTAGAGTGCAGGGACATCATCATAGCTCACTGCAGCCTCAAACTCCTGGGCTCAAGTGATCCTCCTGCCTCAGCCTTCTGGGTAGCTGGGACTACAGGCATGTGCTACCATGCCCAACTAATTTTTAAAATTTTTTTTTTAGAGACAGGGGTCTCACTATATTGCCCAGGCTGGTCTCAAACTCCTGGTCTTAAGTGATTTTCCATCCTTGGCCTCCCAAAGTGCTAGTATTAAGGCATGAGCCCAGCTATTTTACGGAATTTAGAGCTTAGAATTATTTTTCCTATTTTTCCTTTCTGGGGATGTGTGTGTGTGTGTGTGTGTGTGTGTGTGTGTGTGTGTGTGTGTGCATACAAACAAAAATATAAAATTTATATAAAGTTTAGCTGCCTAGCCTTTTGATAATAATGTTTATCAGAGTTACCATTATTATTTGCTTCATTTGCTGGCCTCCTTCCATTCTAGAAATGTATGTTATTGGCTCTGCTGTTGTCTGTACTCTACTTTGGGGTTGAGGTAGCGAATTCTCAGTATATATTTTCCATAGATACAAATGTAAAATGTGACTTGTTTAGAGTAACTTAGTACTTATTTCTGAATTTTGTTTTTCTTCTTTTTAATAGAAAGCCATTATCACTCAGATCGAAGTTCCAAGAGTTCTCTAATGAGTGAGATGAGAAATGCCTCACCTATAGGCCACAGATGGGAACCATCTCCTAGTAACGTGACTGAAAGAAAGAAGCGTGGGTCATCTCAGGAGTCAAATAATCTTTCTGCAGACATTCCCTGTGTGACAGATTTAGATCAACAACAGATTTCAAGTCCAGAATTAAATACGAATAATGAGATAAATGATGATATTAACAAAAAGAATACTACAATGCAAAGAAATAAACAGTATCTTCCTGGCTTATCTTCTGAGTCTCCTGGTGAACCTAATGCAGGGTACATGAATCAAGTTCAGGATAATGATGACTTTCAATTGCAGAAAACTGTGTATGATGCTGACATGGATTTAACTGCTAGTGAAGTAAGCAAAATTGTGACAGTTTCAACAGGCACTAAAAATAAAAGTAATAAAAAAACAAAGGAGCGTGGAACAAAAACTTTCAGAAAAGTGAAAGATTCAAGCTCTGACAAAAGGAGAGAAAGAACGAAGAGACAATTTGAAAATAGTTCAGATGTGGATATTGAGGAAAAGATTGAAAACGGACCAGAAAGAAGATCTGTTGTTCTGGGTGACAAAAGGGATTCAGAAAATCCAGATTTTATTTTCAATACCAAACAGCTGACTGAGGCTGACATCCTGGAGAAAATAACCCTTCATAATGACTTTGAACAAGATGACAGGCAAAATACACAGTGTAATAAAAAGAAGAAAAGAATACATGTAACAAATAAGCAAGAGGAAACATACTTCTTCTCCCAAAGTTCAGATAAATTCCAGCAGGAGAGTAAATTTGATATGGGTCAGAATTCCCTAACTTGTAATACAAGTAAAGCTTCTAGACAGACATTTGTGATTCATAAATTAGAAAGAGATAACTTATTCCCAAACCAAAAGGATGAAGTAACCATTTTTGAAAACCTAGAAGTCACAAATGAATTTCAAACAGCCAATCTTTCCTCTAAAGATAATGGAAATTTATATGATTATAAGACCCAGAATATGTTGGATTCAAATGAGTATATCACTGATATGCGACCTGCTGAGCAAAATGAATCAAAAATAAATAAGCTTAGGAAGAAAGTAAGTCGGAAGACAGAAATAATTTCTGGAATGAACCAAATATATGAGGATAATGATAAAGATGTACATGGCCCAAGAAAAGGTAATGTTTTCTTACGAACCCAAGAGGATAAAGAAACTATCTCTGAAAACCTAGAAGTTGCAAATGAGTTTCAAATACCTTATGTTTTCACCAGAGATAATGGTGATTGTGAGGCCCAGGATGTATTGGATTTGCAAAAACAGATCACTGATGTATACCCTGTTCAGCAAAATGAATCAAAAGTTAATAAGAAACTTAGGCAGAAAGTAAATCGGAAGACAGAAATAATTTCTGAAGTGAATCATTTGGATAACAACAAAAGTGAGCATTGTCCAGGAAAGGGTAACTCTTTCTTTCTAACCCAAAAGGACAAAGAAATCATCCCTGGAAACCTAGAAGACTCAAGTGAGTTTCAAACACCTGCATTTTCTACCAAAGATAGTGGAAACCTATGTGGTTATCAGACTCAGTATGTTTTGGGGGTGAAAAAGCATGTCCCTGATAGGCAACCTGCTTGTCAGAATGATTCAAAAATAGATAGGAAGCTTAAACAAAAGGTATTTCGAAAAACAGAAATAATTTCTGAAATCAATCAAATATATGAGAATGATGACAAAGGTGTGCATGACCGAGAAAAAGGTAACTTCTTTTCTCCAACCCAAAAAGATAAAGAAACCGTTTCTGAAAACCTACAAGTCACAAATGAATTTCAAACAGCTGATCTTCCCACCGAAGATAATGGAAGTTTATGTTATTATGAGACCCAAAATATACTGGATTCGAAAAGGCATGTCACTGATGTACAACCTGCTGAGCAAAATGAATCAAAAATAAATAAGAAGCTTAGGCATAAAGTAAATCGGAAGACAGAAATAATTTCTGAAATGAACCAAATATGTGAGAATAATGATAAAGGTATGGATGGCCAAGAAAGCTGTACAAGAGATCTTGATTTCAAAATAAGTAAATCTAAAGAAAGACTTGAATGTCAAGGCATTATCGGTGGATACTCTATGGAAATCAATAGTAATGAAAAGGAAAGTTGTGGGCAAATTTCAGATCCTTACCAACTAGTTAAAAAATGTAAGAAAGAATCATCAGGCAAGGCAAAGAACATTTTGACAAAAGGTAAGAACAAATCTGTTTTGCAGTTAACAGATTCTTCAGAGATACCAACCTCCTTAGAAGCTGATTTAAAACATAATACTAGTGAAGCAGATTCTGATCCAGGAAACCCAACTGAAATACATAAGACTCCAAAGCAAAGAACTACAACTCTGAATAAAAAAAGAGAGATCCACTTTGTGGAAGTGATAAGAGAAGGAGAGTGCCAGGTCAAAAAAGTAAATAAAATGACATCCAAATCAAAAAAAAGGAAAGCCTCCATAGATCCTTCTCCAGAGAGCCATGAATTAATAGTTGACACTATTCAGGCAAAGTCAGTTGACTCTGATCAAGCTGATAAGGAAAACAACGTGGAGAATGAGAAAATGGTCAAAAGTAAGCCAGACTTTTACACAAAGATGTTTAAATCTTTATCTCAGATATATTCACCTTACACACAAGATTATTCCTTTAACAATGTTCAGGAAGGTTCAGTACCTTCAAGTATTTCTTCTAGTAAAAATCTGATAATAAAAGAAAATTTTGACCTGGAGTGTTCACCAAGCTTTCAAGTAAGTGATGATATGCATGAGAAGATGAACAAGACGAAATTTAATGTCAACCAGAGAGAACAAAAATCAGGAATAGGTAGGTCAATAACCTGAAGTGATAAAATTTTAGAAGTGTTATCTTTTAAAATTTTTCAATTAGTAAAATATTTTCTGCTATAACTGATATTTTATGGAATTTTAAAATATATAGCCGTGTAGCATTTATGATCTGTAGAAACAGTGTGAAGGAATCTAAAGAAAGTTTAATACTTTGGGAAGATAACAGTGAAATTATCTTGGACATTTACAGCCTAAAAATCTGATTTGGCCTTTACCACAAAGTTAGGCAGATAATTTCGTTTTTCGTGTTATTTGAAAGAAATTGAATGTTTCAAATGTATATAATAATGAATTGCACTGGTTTTGTTTTACCAGACATGATTATAAGTTTCTTAAGGGTGGGGATCTTAACTCCATTTCAGCAGCATATATTTAATGTGATCAAAGCATTATTCTGGGTGATGTAGAGGACTGAAAAATAAACAATACCAGCCCCCTTTCCTCAGAATACATGTATATAAAAGTAACAAACACAGTGGTGAAATGTGGTAAATGATTATTTAATAAAAGCACATATACTATGCTAAGGGATGTAATGGGGAGTAGTTTTGATTAGAGGAATCTGCAAAGGCATCATTAATAGGTAACACTTAGGCCCTAAAACAGCAGTCCCCAACTTTTTTGGCACCAACAACCAGTTTCATGGAAGACAGTTTTTCCCTGTGGAGGAGGGGGCAGAGCTCTGCCACCTGTCTCCTAACCCCCGTGGCCCAAGGGTTGGGGACCGCAGCCCTAAAGGATAAGTAAGATTGTTACCTGTAGTGTTTAGTTTTTATATTCGTCTAGTTATTAAAATAATATTGATTGCAGAAAATAGAGAATCAGAAAAAGGACAGGGAAAATATCACTTGGAAGAATTGCAGTCACCATTTTACCATGTGCATGCAGAATACAGACCTGAATCTATGGATTTTTAAATATATATTTGAAATCATACTACATATAACATTATTTATCCCACTTTTCCCCCTTAACATTGAATCCTAAGGATGTTCTTTCACCACTAGAAATTTTGTAACCTTAGACTTTCCTTTAAAAATTAAAATTTTTATTGGGAGCCTAACATTTCAATATATATACATAGAACACTGGGATTTTGATGAATAAGGCTATTCCAGCTAAAAAGCACATTGAAGCAAAAGAAATACAAAGGCCTACAGTTGCAGGATATTGTTAGAAGACTGGTGAAACAGCTTTCATCTCTGCTTTCACAGTGCCTTTCACACTGTGGCAATCGGTGGCATATGCATTGAATGAATGTGCAGTAGTTTGTGTGCTCTGTGAAAAGAGTTCAATTATAAGGAATTTTTGTCAGCCTGTATGTGATTTCAGAATAAAAAGGTTGCAGGCTACTTTGATAGTTTGTTTCAAATTTTAGTCTCTGTCCCCTAAAAATTGAATTGTTTTAAAATTTGCTGCAATAATTTGCAAACCACTATATAGCCCATATCTATTTCCATCTCTATAGACTTTTCTGAGTATTTGTGAAAAATAATATTCTTTTCAGGTGATAGACCATTACAGGACTTGACAAATACCAGGTTTGTTTCAAATAACACTGCTGAACCTGAAAATAAGTCAGAAGATCTATCGTCAGAGCTGCGAAGCAGAAGAAGAAAGTGTACTCCTCTCCATTTCAAAGAGCCAAGTCTCAGAGAGTAAGTATTTCAGTGATATTAAAGTGATTTTAGTATGCTATTCTGAATTAGTATTTAAACACTTTTGAAAATCAATAAAATATGTAACAACCATAGTATGATTTGGGTAAGATTTGAGGAAATGTATTCTTTAAACAGGCTTTTTTTTTTTTTTTGGTGTCTGAATTTAAATTGGTTTAATTTTATTTCGTTCCCAGTTCTGCTACTATCATTTTTAAAATTGTAACTTGATAATCATAATTTTTAAAATTTGTTCCCTATGATTTGCAAACTACTATTTTCCATATATTATCCCTATTTATTTTCTACCTTGTTCCCTGGAAAAATTCAAAGTAGTTTATATGTCCTTTACTCTCAAAGAATAACAGTCCTTTTTCTTTATTTTTATAAATTTCAAACATACTCCACAAAATAGTGCCCTCCAATTTATCCACTTCTCAGATTCAACAATTATCAAGTTTGCCATCTATGCTTCATTTATCCTTTTTGTTGTAGTGTTTACAGTCATAAATATTAAGTCATTTAATTCCTGAAAACACTTTTGTAAATATCTCTAAAAAATAAGAACTTCTTAACAAAGTTCTTAACAAAACCAGACACAAGTATCACATCTAACAAAAAAGATAGTTCTGGCAGGTATTTTAAAACAATAACCAGCAGATGGCAATAATACACGCGAGGGTGAAAGAGAAGCAGATTGAAAGTGAAACAAAGGACCAAGTGGCTTTTCTTTTCTTTCTTTCTTCCCTTTCCCTTCTTTTCCTTTCCCTCTCTCTCTCTTTTCTTTCCTTTCCTTTCCTTTCTTTTCTTTTCTTTTCTTTTCTTTCTTTTCGTTTTTCTTTCTTTCTTTCTCTTTCTTTCAACAGCTTTATTGAGATATAGTTCACATACTATATATTTCACTCATTAAAAGTATACAATTCAGTGGTTTTTAATATATTCACAGATATATGTAACCATCACCTCTAGTCAATTTTAGAACATTTCTTCACCTCAGAAGGAAACCCTGTGCACCTTTTAGTTACCACTTTCTTACCCCACAACTCTAGGCAACCCCTAATCTACTTTTTGTCCCTGTAAATTTCCCTGTTTCATATGAATGGAATCATATAATGTGTGGTCTTTTTAACCAGTTTCTTTCACCTAGCATGTTTTAAATGTTCATCTATGTGGCAGCATGTATCAGTCCTTCATTCCTTTTTATGACTGAATATTATTTCATTGTATAGATATACCATATTTGTCTGTTAATGGACATTTGTCTTGCTTTCATCTTTTGGCTATTCTGAGTAATGCTGCTATAGACATTCGTGCACAAGTTTTTGCGTATATGTATATTTTTATTTTCGTGGGTATATGCCTAGGAGTAAAATTGTTGGGTCATATGGTATAATTCTATGTTTAATCATTTGAGGAACTACCAGACTGTTTCCAAAGCTACTGTACCATTTTACATTCTCACCAATGGTGTGTGAGATTTTTGGTTTTTCCTTATCCTCACTAACGCTTGTTTTTATATGACTTTCTGATTCTAGCCATCCTAGTGGGTGTGAAGTTGTATCTCATTGTGACTTTGATTTGCATTTCCCTGATGACTAATGATGTTCAGCATCTTTTCGTGTATTTACTGGCCAGTTGCATATCTTCCTCAGGGAAATGGCTGTTAACATCCTTTGCCCTTTTTCCAGTTGGGTTATTTGTGTTTTTATTAAGTTGTAAGTTAAACTTTTAATTTTGAACTAATTTTAGACTTACAGCAAAGTTGTTAAAATAGTACAAGGTTTCCCATATGTTCTCCATCTAGCTTTCCCTATTTTTTTTTTTTTTTTTTTTT